CATCCAAAATAACAACTGAAACTAATTTTTAGCATTTAGACATTTTTACAAATGTATTTCAAAAGCAGCAAATGGCCTCAAAATTTTTCTGTGAGGAAGTTTATGTGCTCTTAACTCTCCGAGAAAGAATTAATTCATAGTATTTTTCCACAGAATATACAATTGAATAGCAACGGTTGAAATAAGTATTTATTACACAGTTTATCAGAATTTATATATTTTATTGATCTAGCTATACTGAATCTTGCTGGGGATTAGCAAGATGTAAAAAAAAAATTTAAAAATACAGCAGTTAGGCAACCTGGGATGCCTGAAATCTTGAGACTGCATGGCATATTTCTTCTCTGTATTGGTGAGGATAACAAAAGAAAGCAAAACACAAGCATTTAGAGGTAGGAAAAAATGTAATAATGATTTTGCCCATCTCAGTTAGCCTAGGGGAATCTGTTGTACAGGCAGAAGTACAATCCACCACTTGAAATACTCTTACAAAATACTACAGAGATGTCTCTGCCTAGAAAGCCCACAGGTAGGGGAAAAAGAAGGTAGGGTGTAGACTCAGCTCCCAACAAAATATAGTGGGAGTGCTGTCTAAATGGTACAATCCAAGCCCCACTGAATAAAGTGCATTCACAAAGTAAATTAATAAAATTTTGCAGGCACAGTCACTGTTGTATCATTATACAATAATTATTTGGAATATTTCCATCTATCAATAATGCCATCTGTCCCACCCAATACAAATGGACTACAACCCATCTGGCTTATTTTTTTTCTATTGATTACTTTGCTGAATGAGTTAGCAAAACCGCTTATAAAATTATCATATTACATGACACTGTCATTAAAAGATGTGAAGCAAAGAAAAACACAAGATGAGACTTAATTGGAAAACTGTCAGCTCTTCTTCCAGAAAGTTTTAGCAATGCTATAAGCCTATTTTTTTTGTTGTTATTGTTATTTAAAAAAAAAAAAAAAAAAAACAAGCAACAGGACACAAAGTCCAAGAACCCTCTAAATGCTAACTACAGGAGTAAAAATTGTTCTACCATACAATTGCTACCCCTCCTAACTAGGTATGCTAAAAAAGGTCCTTAAATTTATCTCCTCAAGACTGTCAAAATGTCCCTAAGTATGCCTGGAAATCACAAAGAAACTGTGGAAGGAATGTAACTTAAAAATAGAGTGGAAGAAAGTTGATGATGGCTGGCACTTGTATGTGTTAATTCCAATAAGTCTTCCTAGGTTTTGGGTTCGATTATTCATTTGTATAATTGTCTTTATGTTATTTTTGTAGCCTCTGTTTTGTTTTTTTTCATTTTATTTTAACCACTGCTTCCCTTAACTATATTTTAATTTCTCCAACAACAAAAATGCAGTTTTATCCACCTACAGAATTAAATGCTAACTTTGACTCCTTCACTCTAGATCTTAATTTTACAGTACCTTCTTAGTTTTAACAAATCTCTCTTGTGTACAATCAAAATATTGATCCAAAGATCCTTAGCCCAGTGATTTATGTGCTGTTCTTTTGAGTAAACCCTTGGTGGGGCTGCTTTCTTATCCTTCCCTCCCTGCTATTTTTCTTTCTACTACAACCTAACATCCCTGCACTAGATTTCTGTTTCCTCTGTCAGCTCGAATGGCTTTTCCAATGATGCTGTGACTCAAAGGGACATATGAAGGAAGAAGAGAAAGGAACAAGGCCTGGATTCCAGCTCTAAGGACACAACCCTTGATGACTGTGGGTAACTGGAACTCAGGGAGGCTCAGGGGGTTATACTGTAGGGTTGAGGCTGCAAGAATGGTGCTGGGAGCGCAGATACTGAGCTGCCATAAGGAGTGAGGGAAATCAGGGTGATGGGAGTAGAAAGGAATTGTGTAAGAAGGAAGGAATGATGCTTGAATAAGGAAGGGACTAGAGGCTGGTTGACTGAAACAAGTTAGAAGTTGCTAGGGAATCCAGCCTGCTTACTGTTACTGTTTCCTCCCTCTCTTACAATCCCCTTCCAGCCTCCATGCTCATTAGAACCACTTCTCTAGTTAATAATATATTAAATAATCCTGCTGGGAAAAATAGATTATTCTGAAATATACTTTTTATAATTTATCTAATTAAAAAAATCCATTTAAATAGAATTTATTTTTCTATTTGTAACTCAAGAAGTTCTTAAAAGACAATTGTCACTGGCAATATTACAAGAAGTCTTCTAAAGTCCAGCTAAGCATGTCTGCCCCTGTGTCTTATCTCAAATGAAACTTTGATCAACTACATATACACATCCAGCTCTTAGAAGTAAATCTTTTGTGCTATATAAGCATATCCAGAGAACAATTCTCATACTTCTCTTTATATTATATACTGGTAGGTCCAATTTATTGGTGTCCTAAACAATTCATATAACCCCTTTTGTGCTTTACTACTACTGCCATCAAACATGTAGAAAAATTCAAGTGAAGGTGCTGAACAGTATTATTTATGTAGGAGATTTTTATCACATATTACCATATGACAGAATGCTAATAATTTGCTGTGTTCTAAAGAAAAACACCTTTGGCAGTTCTGATGCATATGATTTAGTCAATATTTTAAATACAATTATCTTAATATATCATTGCTTTGCCACTAAATACAGAACATTCAACAAACAGAAATATAGAGTCTAAATCCCATCTTTAAAATGTAATTATTTCTATGATTTATGATGTATAGCTTACAAAAAATGAGTTCTGAACTTAACTGTTTTATTTGCACAAACAAACTCCTTTTTTCATGGATGACAGAAGCAGAACAATTTCAACTGAGAAACCATTTGTTCTTATTAAGTAATCTTTAGGTTGATACTGATTCAGGCCTTTTGCCACTGCTTGAAATAAAGGCTAATAAAATACTTTTGGTCTGGCTGACTTAGTTCACTTGGAGAAAACAGACCATTATTTCATGTCAGGGTATCCAACAGAACTGTCTGTAGTAGCATTGGGATACCAAAATAAAAACAAAACCACACAGGGAAGGAATAAGCCTTCAGAGTAAAGTGACAGTATTCTGTCTTCCACTGAGAAAGGCAGTATCGTACAAAATCTGGAAGGATGCTCTAAAGTAAAAACTACATTATCTGTTTTCACAGATACTATGGAATTCTTGTTGTACAATTTATCATTTTTCAAATATAAAATCTCTATTTTCATTAATGGGATAATTGTATTTTCAGGACAGGGTAATTCTTCCTTCTAGTTCCTTGTAATAGAAATATAAGTATTTTTCTCTGTCTTACTGGATATATAAACCCTTCCTAATTAAAAAATATGCATATAGTGAAGAAAAATTGAATGCCTCTGTCTATTGACAAAATTATAAAACAAAATTATAGGAACATGCAGGTGCTAATAACGTCTCACTCCCATTTATATTTAGTTTCTTTCCAAAGCATTTTTAGATAGTGTTGTGGCAGACATTACTTTATCTGCTAATATTTTTTTCTCTTTGTGATACTGTCATTGCTGAATTATGATCTGAAAAGTGCAGCATAAGATGGACTGATGAACATCCTACAGGATTGTCTGGTGCCTGATTGCAGGATGTTTTTCTTAAAGATTCTTGAAAACTGTCAGGCAGCTATCATTTCACAGGAGTGCATGTAGACAACGATCCATATTTTAAGCAATGACTTGAACAATCAAGAAAATGACATGGAATAGATATTAGTGATAGCTCAAAAGTAAGCACCTTCATCAGTATTTTTCATGTAGCTAAAAAAAAAATCCCAAAACCCAAAAAACTACTGCCTAGTCATCTTAGTAGCTCATATGTGCAATAACTATGGAAGACTGAAAAGATTGTATGTGGAAAAAGGATAAGTTTCAAAGAAGTGTCAAACATCACCAGTCTGTCTTCCAATCTTATATATTGCAAATCAGAAAGCAGATAGTGTTTGTGGTCACGGTATGTTACTAATCAGTCACAGAGAAAAAAAGGGAATTGAATTAAAAAAACTGAATTGAATTTAGATTCAGTTCTGGATCTGAATTTGGTCTTGGAGGAGTAATATACACTATTTAAAGGTGTTTTTTATCAGTGAATCAAGCTGAGATGCATAAGCATCTCAAGATGTAAGTGAAGTCTACATCTTTACTCAGAAAGACACTTGCCCAGTGCAAAGACTGAAAGCAAAGACAAATAGAAGGAAAATTTCAGGTGGTTTTTTTTCCTTCTTCTGTGAAAATATTAACATATTCTATGCCTCCAAGCCCTGAGAAAACATAATAATTAGGCTATATTAAATTACACAGCAATTATGCATTTTGTTTTTATGCATTTGTGGAGAATTTATATTGTATTTACAAGATTTATGACAGCTGTCTTTAAATGCTGTCTGGATATTCCATGGCTATTTAAGAAAAGGGGCACATAACTAATAGAAATTATAATGGCATCATTATAAATCACAGTGCAAATTATTATGCTGTTAACCAGGGTTAAGGATATGCTGTTGAGGGTCAACCAACAGACAGGCATGTCCAGATGTGGTCTTAGAAGTCCAGCTGAATAAAGCAATAATGAGCAGTAAATAGCTAAACTCAGTTATCATAAAAATATTGCTTGTAAGAAAGAGTGAGGAAAAACCTTTAACAGAGCAACTCACAAAAAGTTGAAGTAAAATGCCCATTTCTCATTATGCTAAAATATATGGACAATATAATTCCTTGTAATTCAAACGAGGTATTGTTCACTTTTTTGTCAGAGAAATTGACTGCTCTTTAGGAGTTCTTTAACTTAGCGCTTTGGGGAATTAAGACAAAGTTAGTGGTGAATAAAACTTTCTATTAAGCAATTTTCTTTCTCAAGTGTGCACAGCCACTTATGAGCCAGAACATAACAGCTCAATCAAACTTTACTTGAACCACTTTGAAATGCACTGAGAAAATTCTGGTATTACTGCAAGACTTAGAAAGGAAAAAAAAAGACAACCCAGAAAGAAGAAAAAAGATGTGGCAGCTACCTTTTGACATTCTCTTAATTTCTTCTGCCATATGGAGCGAGCAATAGGAATGCTCTTGCTGTCAGTTACGTAGCAGCTGGCTGTGATGACGTGGTGCAGTGCAGTCTTCTGGCTCATAGCTTGAAGGACTCGCTCAACGTGCCGGAGGGAAACTCCGGCCTCTGTGCAAACGCCACCGCCAACAAGCTGCATTGTGCAAGGTACCAGAGCAATCTGTCCAGCACAGTAGAGAACACTGCCAACCTAGGAGACAATCAAAGCAAGTAAATAAGATTCTGGGAGTTTACAGAAGAGAAGGGAAGCACCTTTCTCTCTTACAGAGGGTTTCTTTCAATAGTACTATACTTTGCCATCATTTGTCACAAATGGAGCAAACATGCCAGAGTAAAGATAATTTTTAATAGGGATTTAAGTACAACATAGAAACACAGCACTACAATAAAAACATTTAATGAATGGATCTATGTGTCAGCTCAAAACAACAATCTGATGTAGTGGACTGTTACAGTTGCTGAGCCACACTGATGCACTAACATGGTTAAATAAGTTTTTCCTTTCTTTTCTTTTGAGTGATGATGCACATTATCTTTGGTTCAATTTTTAAAATATTCTATGTCTTAAGCTTTGTTTTATATAAAACCATTTGAAAAAGTATCAGTACACATCTGTAGCATCTTYAGTAAACTAATTTAAAAATACTGTAAAAATATACTTGCAGAACACCTAAATGACTGTGTATGAACAAAAAGTGATGACACTCCACCAGAAGGTAAAAGCAAATCGCAGATTGAAAATAAAATGCAGAAGAAGGCTACTTGAACAAAGAGATGGGTCACCTTTTSAAAATGGAATTAAATGGGTGGCCAGATTTACTACTGCAATGCAGTTACTTTGGGTTTATTTTCCAAAATCTTCCTGGCAACATTCTGAAGACCTACTTTTTTTACCAGGAGTCAGCAAATGAAACATTTATTCTTACTATTCAGACATTTCAAAGTTTTTTTTATAAAATCTTAATGTAAATATCAAAACTTTTCATCATATTCGGCTGCACTTCTCTAAAACGTCTGTACATTTCCTAATCAGTGAAACAGTAAATTTTATTCACTATCAAAAGAAAACTAAGTATAGAAGTGGGAAGTAAGGTGGGCGTAAGCAGCTTTGAAGTCAGCACAGGAAGAATTTTGCTAGGAGTAAAGAGAGAGAAAATGGACTATGCAAGGAATCTTTTGGAAGATTTTTGCAGAATTTACTGTATAAACTGTAAAAATTCCTCAGAATTAGGAATAATTAAAAAAGAAATCTGTGTCCTAGAAGACATGGCAATCAAACCATGTGACAGACCCATATGCAACTCCAAATCTGTCCTCATAACTGTCTGTGTCTCACAAAAGACTCACACATGTAACTATTGGAAGAGTATCTTATACAATTTGGCATACAAGTTCTATGATTAGCAGCTGAAATGGGGGAGGAGGCAGAGAGAAAACAACATATAAACTGACACATTTCAAAGATTTAAATGGTTTAAAATACCTGAAATATTGTTTGGTAATGTTATATATAATCATGAATTTGGAAAAAAAATATATGAAAGCAATATTCTCGTTTATCGGAACAAATGGTCTTTTTATTTATTTAATTTTTTTTACAGTGCTATTTTAAAATATGTGCCACTGAACAAGGGAGTCCAGCCAGCTACCAAGTGGCATACTGACAAGATGAGAAACAAATTCAGGAAGATATGATTCAGAAGGGCACAGGTTTGTTTTTAAAGCAAACCATTCATTTTCACCTCTGCAAAGTGAAATTCATGCAGTAGTCAAAAACTCCAATGCAGGTAGTTCATACTTCTACAGAAAAAAAATCACACTGGCAGTATTTCTTCCTCTTTCTCCCCTGTTGAGCTGCTGGTTTTCCATGCATCACCCATGTTAATTATTAGGTAGACAGAAGAGCTGTTCAACCAGATCACTTCCCCTATTCTTGAACAGATTGTTTGAGACATAATATGAATACTAATTAACGATAAAATATCTGTCAGTGTTTTGAAATACAGACCAAGATAGCACTTTCTTAAAGTATCCTGGACAGTTCTGATACAATTAGCCCTACTGGTCATAAGCAAGGTCATTAAAAAATCTCTGAAGGATTTGAGAAAAATTGGCACCATTTTTGGCTCAGATTCAGTGGGAATTTTGCAGAGTTCTTTAAAAATCAATTGAAAAAATCCCTCTGTTCTTAACATACTTGTTTGTATCTTAAGATGCAATTAATAGAAAAACAGTGTTCCCAACAAGCCACCATGTTATGGAAGGGTAGATGCAAGGGGAAAAGAGGGGAAAAGGATAAAAAAATGCCCGCAGATTTGCAGCAACTGTATTTCACGGGGACATAATTTAGAAAAAGGGAAGGAGGAGGGGCGTCTCTCTTCTCTTTCCCAGTGACTCAGTCATGAAAAGCAAGCATAAATAATCAGCAAGGACAAAGCAGCAAACCAGTACAAACACTGTTTTAGCAGATTTCAAGACGTTGTCTCCGGAATGTTTGAAGTATTATACAGAAAATTGTTAGCAGAGTAAAAAGCATTGAAAACAGGGAAGTCAYCATACTATCTTGTTCACAGTACTGAAATTTCACAAGAGGAGCTGTCACAATGTATGGTGTCAGTACTTGTGTTGTGAAAGTGTGCTGCAAAACCCTGCTAGAACCTTGCAACAGTTTATCTTTTTGGAGCATTTATGAGGATAACAGAAGATCTCTCAGGGTATAGATACACAGTGTATCAAGCCTAGAGGACTTGTATTATCCAGGAAACTCAGCATGAAACCTTAAACTACAATACAAAGGATCTATATTGATCCTTAAAGGATCTATATATATGCGGTAGATGTCTCACTGATTATCTGATTTTCACTTTAGACCATATACATATTTCCAGTGATAAAATTTCAGTAAAGACTGGAGCCAAAGAAAACCCCCAAAACTCAAGCTTTGTACTGCTGAGATGCTCACTTCTACAAATTTATTTCCAAAATAGTTTAATTGCAATAAGCAGGTTATGATTGGGGCCTCATGTGACTCCACATTTCTTCCCTTTTTATTTTCATTTGCATCATTACAAGTTAAAGGAAATGTGAGTCCTTTTAAATTAACACAATAGTTTAGCAGCTGCCAGCACAGCCATAAATAATCAGGGTAGTTCAGTGGGCAATCAGAACCTCAGAGGATGCAATGAATGCTCTCACAGATAGAAAGAGAAGAGATTATTTGAGAAATACTATTTTTCTCAGTGTAGCTGTCTTGCAGGAATAAGTATAATTCAGACCTAGGTAACAGCTGATACCAATGGAAGACTGTAGAGTAGCTTTTTTTTTTGCCCAGGGTTCTTAGAAAAAACACACATTGTGTTTATGTKCACACACTGAGCACATACATGCTTTCACTTATTAGGAAAACAGAAGGAAAGCATCTATATTACCATGGAAAGGAACAGTTGGAGCCACTTCAAACTTGTTCTATCCCATGAAAAAGTTTTTAGCAGTATTTTCAGTTACCAAAAGGACACAACRTATCTCCCATATAATATATATATGTATCAGGAAAAGGAACAATGAGAGAACCAGACTTAACTGAACATAAGGTCTAAACTAAAAGCTGCTAATTAGAAAGAAAAAGCTTCAATTATTGTTGCCTAGAAAGAAAACAGAATCAATAGTATACCTATAGATATGCACTGAGTTGTTTCTTTTTTAATTAAAGGCCAACAGCATCTGGCCTGGAAAGTTTACAAAACTGTTCCTGATGGTATTATTAAAACTTGTGATTGACAATATAAAAATTGCTGGAAACTTCTAACAGAGAGATCTCAAGCATTCACCCACAGCTACTTTGGCAAATGCTAATAGTTGCACCACATGAACAAACGCATGTTTCTTGGAAGGATGGAGTCAATATGCAATCAGCCAAATCTTTGTTATGAATGCAGTTTGGTGTCTGAGTGACTGCTGCCCTTTAACAGGTCAGGGTGCACAAAAGGTTTGGTGACCCCCTGACCTCACAGTGACACAACCCACCATTAGGCTCAGTCAATGCAAATAAGCAGAACTGACAACACACTAATAGGGTGCCTCTGGTCAGCCACKGGTACCTCTGACCTTAATGAAGACCTAAATCAATTAATACTCCAGGCAATAAAGACCTCTGGCTGATTAAGTTAGATAGAAATAATCTTTTCTAACAGGATTAAAGCTGCAAGGTGGTGAACTTTTTATTCAATATATGATAATCCTTTCTTCCTAGAGCCCTCTTATTTTAGATAATGATGACAAAATTGCTTTTTGCAATGTGAAATCTTTTATTCAACTGCCTAGCATTAACAGCTCAGATTAAAGGCATCGTTTAGACAACGGTAACTGAAAAGCCTTGAGTTAACAATATGAAAACAAATTGTATCTGACTAACATGATTCTAATACAAACAACCCCCAATATAATTTACGTTTTTCTTGAACTGTTACAAATTTGTAGTCTAAAAATTCCAGGAATGAGTTGATTACACATAGTTGAGTTTGACAAAGGCTTTCTTCTGAGAAAAATGTGCAGTTATCAGTAGCTAAAAGATCAAGAATATATTCCTAAATGGATACTACTACTATTACTACAACTACTTCTAATGTTATTATCTTTGACTAAAAAAAAAATTGGTATTTCTGGGACTCCACATATAGCTTAGTCAAATGTTTGCACATCATACTCAAAACTTCAGAACTTCCCTTTGAATAAAATATTTTTTTTCCTAGTTAGGTTATAAAAGTATAATCAATGAATAATAACGAATCAATAGCATATTATTGCCATTTTATTGAACTAAATGTAATATTTCCACAGTTTTTAGGGTTTTACAATTCAGTTTTCAGATGCTGTGACTCCATTTTGTTAGTTCCCATTTTGGGATGGATGTTTCAATATGTGTCTGATCACCTAAGTTACAAGACTACAAACCACACATCTTTTTGTACTGCTCTTCACTATTAAAGTTTATTTTATCAATGTGTGTTTTCAATTTTTCTCTTTGACCTTATATATTTGTGGGTTGAAAATTCATAGAATATATTTTTTACCAAGCAGCAAAATTGTACTGCAATTTAATGGATTCTAATCTAGGTTGTATATTTTTTTTTCTCTTCAGTTTAGGAAAATTAAGATACATCATCCCACAAAGTCGTATTTGATGTTGAACAC